AAAAAAAAAGTGAATGAGCTTAACTCATCTACTACAAGAAAACAATTTCAAATTGGCTCATAAAGCAAATCTTACTTTTTGACATTATTAATAATGCTGAGGTTAACACACTTTATGCATTTTTGCATACTATACGCATTATCATAAAATAAATTTCTAAAGTATACATGAAATATAAGACTTTCAAAGTACACTGCAAAAGTGCCTTCTGGAAAGTGTATGAGATTACCATTCCCTGCCCCCTCCACAGTATATGAAAGAGACTGTTTCATTACATCCTTAATTAACACTGAGTACTAGGCTGCATGTTAGATTTTAATTTAATGTGTTATAATCCAACAGTATTTCCTTATGATTTCTGACTCATCAAGCAATGCCTAGAAATAATTTCCCTACTAAAGTGTTCTAAAAATGTCTAGAATTTCTTCTAAAACTTTTTATGGTTTCATTTTTTTCATATAGAAATAATAAATTCCATGAGCAACTAATCTTGTTTTAAGCCATGTTATAAACATCTTTTAATTTCCAAATGGATAGTCAGTTTTTTCAATACATTTAGCAAATAATCTCTCTTTCCATCTTTATGCCTTACATGATACATTAAATTAATATTTATATTAGGATCTATTTCTGGACACTACACTTTCTCAATTGGTTTATCTACTTTTCCCTGACTATGATATTATTTTAATTATTATAACTTTATAACACACTTTAATATCTGGTGGATTAAAGTTCTCTTTTCTGTTTTCATTTTAGAAGACATTTATATTTGTATAATATTGACTTATCTCATCCAGGGAGACAGTTGGTCTCTTTTTTATTCAAGTTTTATTATGTTACCCTGTAAAGTTCTTTTTTCCATTGAAGACTCTTCATATTTTTTGCTGATTTTTTTCTAGACAATTCATAATTTTTATTACAATTGTAAAAGACTTTTATATAATGATATTTAGCTAATCATTGTAATTATTGGAGAGATAGATAAAGCTATTGATTTTCACAGTTATTTTCTAAAGGAGTATTTTGCATAAATCTTACTCAATGTTTTCTTAGTTTTCCAGTCAATCACATAATCTGCAAATATTATTTTTTTCCACATCTACCACTTATGGCTATTGTTTTTAGAATCTGATTGCACTGGCTATCACTTTCGGAAAAAAGTAAAATAATGTAAAACCATAAAACTTTTATACTTTAATGATAGTACCTTTAATACAAAACATGATAATGGAATTCTCATTTCAGTAGTGAAAAGAATGATGATTGCAATGGGTTGAATCAGATCACATATGTAAAATCTATGACTCTATAATGATAATAAAAGCAACAATAGGAACAGCAATGCCAAATCTTCATTGGTCACTGGTAGAGTGCTAACCTATTACTCTGAAATTTGAATTGCAAGTATTTATCCTTTTATCCTAATGAGATAATGGACCTAGGAAACAATTACGAATGGATGATAAAAGTTTCAGGTAAAATGTTGATATAAAATCTTGTTTTGAAGAAAATCAGTTTACTAGCACATGAACCCACTGATAAATTTCAGCATTACCATAAGTGAGACAACCAGATATTATATGTCTCATTAAGCACAATGAAATACTCTTGGCTTACAAACCAAATGAAAACAACAACAAAATTGCCTGGATCTGATCTAGTCTAAGATCTAACTCCTAGTTTACAGCAAATAGGACAAACATAGGAACAAAATGAATAACAAAATGAAAAAGGCCAAATCTAGAATGTTGGACATTCAAAGGACAAATAACTTGGTTTCTTCAACAAATCATTAGCATTAAAAAATAACAGGTTTGACACAGAATAAAAGAAATTTAAGACACATACAACCAATTGTAGTACAGATCTTGATTCAAAACTTATTATAAATAGACATGTTTTAAACAGATAAAACCTATTATAAATAGACAGATAATTAGGGACATTTGAATATGGACTTGGTATTAAATGATATTAAGAAATAACTAATTCTATTAGCTGTAATAATAGCTTCTTAGTAACAGAGAAAAAAACAACAAATAACAGACAAATAAATATACACCAAAGTTCCTGGCAGGGATGCATACTGAGATATTTACAGGTAAAATGTCACCATATCTAAGGTTTGCTTTAAAATACCTCAAGTTAGGGGCCAGCCCAGTGGTGTAGTGGTTGTTTGTGTACTCTACTTCAGCGGCCCAAGGTTTGGGGGTTTGGATCCCAGGCGTGGACCTAGTACTACTTGTCAAACCACACTGTGGAGGTATCCCACATAAAGCAGAGGAAGATTAGCACAGATGTTAGCTCAGCAACAATCCTCCTCAAAGAGGAAAAGAAAAAAGAGGAAGACTGGCAATAGATCTTAGCTCAAGGCCAATCTTCCTCACACACACATACACACACACACACACACACACACACACACACAAATAACTCAAGTTACAAAAAATGGGAGAAATATCTGAGTGGCAAAATATTGGTAATTGTTGAAACCAGATGACGAGCAGATTGAGGTTCATTATACTACTCTCTCTAGTTTTGCGTAATGCATGTGGTAAGTGATTAGGTAAAAAAGAAAAGCAGGTAAGAAGTAAGAGACAGTGGAAAAAAATAGGTGAGGATCAATGATGATTCTAAAAGAATGAAAGAGTAGAGACAGTTAATGTAGTAAGTACATATTTAAGTTAAATGACTTAAAGTACAAGTGAGGTTCACACAAAATGAGAGGGAACGTTAGAGATGGCCTAGAATTTGGAGTTAGGGCAGACAGGGAGAGGTGAAGAGTAGGTGAAGGGAGGAACAGCACTCAAATGAGATGCCTAGAAGGACACTCACTATCTGGATCACACATGTTTAGGAACTAGTGTAATAAATATTTTTTATGTCTGGATTATTTCTCTTTGGTCTACCAAGTTCTCCCACACTGTTGTTTTATGTAACGCATCCTAATAGAGGCTAAGACTATGACCTCTTTCTCATGGCCAATATAGCAAGAGTTATATCTGGCCATTGTTTATTTATAAAACCTTCTTTTAAAAAACTCCTGCAATTGGGACTGGCCCCGTGGCCGAGTGGTTAAGTTCCCGCGCTCCCCTGCAGGTGGCCCAGTGTTTCGTTAGTTCGAATCCTGGGCGCGGACATGGCGCTGCTCATCAGACCACGCTGAGGCAGCGTCCCACATGCCACAACTAGAAGAACCCACAACGAAGAATACACAACTATGTACTGGGGGGCTTTGGGGAGAAAAAGGAAAAAATAAAATCTTTAAAAAAAAAAAAAACCTGCAATTTGATAGACTTTTAAAATGTCTCTAAATCTCACTGTATAAATATGAAAACAGAAAAAAAAACAACCTCTGAATTTAGTTTTATCCTAGGATGTACAGAGAAGGCTCCAATGAAGACCTGCCTTGTCACATTCAATAGAGCAAGTGCAGAAGCAATTTGTTACAAGCAGATGGATAGTTGAACACTAAAAAGGATGATAAACTAGAGCGAAATTAGATATTGAAATCAATATCTTTTAGGCTTACCATGAAACTTCAGATTTACACAAACAATTGTATTTGAAGAAGTCAGAAAAAAATGCCATACTAAGATGGGTGCCCGTGAAAACAGAACATTACACATGCTATAGCCTTTATAGTCACCATTTACTTGGTTGGTCCAAATATTTATAGTTCATTGTTATGACTGCCAAAACTGGCAACCACAAGGATTGTTGTCTCAATTAGGACAGTAAACAGATTGTCTCTTTTTTTAATGAAAAAATCTAAAATGTAATACTTCACAGTTTAACATGTTTATTCATCTAAACGAGCTAAAAAATAATGGTGCGACATCTGTTCGAGAGGCATTGGTACCTCAAATTTTGGCTGCCTCCCCACCAATTTGGTTGGTGTTTTAAAAAATGAAAAAATAGGAGGGGGTACTGTCATCAAAAAATCTTCTGGCATGTAAAGTATCTTATTTTTCTTGAAATAAGGATCTCATGTCTGTTGCTAGGGATAAAAAAAAAAATCGTTTAACACAAGAAGACACAATGCTGAATATGGCAGCAGTTAATTGTTTTAAATGAATGTACTGACCCACTGTGGATATTTCCACACAGTATAGTTCTTTAATGCTCCTCTAGTTCCCTCTGTACTAACCTGTATATCTAAAACCTGTACAGAATAGGAAGAATGCTTCTGTACGTACTGAATTAATCTGCTACAGTTTTTTACTATGGGTTGCACTGATTCTAGATATGATGTCAATGGAACAAAATCTAGCAAACATCATTCTATACAGGCTGCGCTGGAGAAATTCCAAAAAAAGAAGGCAGTGCTGCTAAAGGAGAAGTGGTAGGAATCTCCCCAGAGAAGCTTCAGGTAAGTGTAAAGAAATCTAATTGTTGGTAGGGAGAAAATAAAAACTTTTCTTATGTAGTCTCTGGCTCAACAACCTTATTATATGGATGAAATACATTAATATGTAAGGCTCAACAACTTTGTGGATGAAATACATTAAAATTTAAAGTTTAAGTTTAATTTCTCCAAGTTTAGTTCTGACGCTTATATAGAGCATAATTTGCTCTACCGAATTATCATTGATTATATAATTTTAGAATCTGGAAAAGATAGAGCTTTACTATTCACGTAAATACAAACATTATAATGAAAATTCAGTTTTATTTTCATTTGGAGTGAAGATGTATAGGAAGCTAAATTTAAAAACATTGAGTATGGTTTTTAACAATACTAAGATAAAAAGAGAATATTTGATTTCCTAGAAAAGAGCAAGGTTTCTGTTCTACAGCAAATTTAATGCTGGTTGTCTTGATCTTAAAGAGAACCAGGAGGAAACATATATGTCTCAATACAACCAATGACCATAATGCTAAGAGTTGATCAATATTGTGATTTTTAAGTTTTATTTGTTAAATGCAAACAATTTTTGATCATCTACCCCATGCAAAAACTGTGCCAGGCTCTCAGAGGACTAAAAGAGATTGACTTAAATTTTAACATGCATTTATTAAATATGTTCAGATCACTACATTGTTGGCATTTCAGAAATAAAAAAGAACATATTCTCAAGATCTTACAATCATTGATTGGGGTGGGAGTATTTCTTCCATCTTTATGAAAAATCGAAAAGATAGAAAATCTTCAAGTTTTTTGCTACTTTACAACAACAATAAACCCTATACTTGTATTACAATAGGCATTTTGTTCATCTGTTTTAAAAGAAATTCTAGATGAGGTTATATTTTTACAACATCTCTTCTCAATTGAATTTATATACTCTTTATTTTGCATGCAAAATAAGGACCAGCAACCCTTCAAGCTTCATTCACGGTATTCCATAGGCTATATGTTAAGTCTGCGTTACTTGAAATTTATTCTGCACAGTATGTTAACAAATAGATTCTAACATTCTGAAAAGTCATCACAATTTTTCTGTTTTTGTCTTCTGGATTATTCTAAGCAGCGAATTATTGGAGGGGAAAAACTCACACCTAAAATTTGCGTCTGGTACGAGTCTCAGATTTATGCCAAATACCACCCACTGTTCAAAAGTATGGTCCCTTCAAACTACAGGCCAGATATCACCTCTCTGTCTTCAAAGATTCAAACCAGACTTCAATCTGGGATTTCTCAATAGAGGATTGGCTGCTTCTCAGTTAATGTGAGTTTGAAAATTTTGCATTTCACAAAAATAGTGTTGTGTAAATATATGTTGTCTCACTTTACCGGCTATCTATTAAAATCCGAGTTTAGCCTTTGGGACTTATGGTTCTCTGGAGCCAACATAAGTCAATCAGTCATACAAATGGACTAGCCATAGACTCAGGGTATCAAGAAAACTAGGTAATGAAACTTGCCTATAATTATACTATGTTCAGCCTAATATTTATTACTATCAGAAACAACACTTTTTTCTCCAAAAGAACACCTCTAGAGTAGAACAAGACAGTAAAGTATTTTTCAGAGTAATGAATTTTCAAACATTTCCAAGGGTATAATCATCTATTTTAAATGCTGTAAATTCTGTTATATCTCACTTGGACACATATCTAATAAACAATTATTACATACCCTCTCATTTAAATTATCACTGAAATTAGAAATAATCTTTATTTAATCTGTTTTTAACACCATATGGGAGGGGAAATAACTAAATGAAAATTGTTCACGTAAATGTGATAGGAGTAGGGGAAAGCAGTATTTCTTGACATGTGGCATGTCACTCAGGAAAGGAAAAGGCCCATCATATCCAAAATGCCAGCTTGGATATTCCCTTGCCACCCACTTCACGAACAGACATACCACATGGCATTAAATGCTGCAACCTTTCCTAAAAATGCCACTTGGATTGGTCTGCTGTGGTAAGTAAGTAAGAACTCTTGGTCTGTCTCTTGAGTTTGTGATTTCAAGGGATAGAATTCAGTAAATAACACTGGCTAAATTTTGCCCTTAGATGTTTGGCATAAATGATCTGTGAGGATACTGGAACTTTTGGCTGTTTTCACACTGATGAAATAAATTATGCTACTTGAAAAAATTCTACAGAACATAATGCCACACAGTCATATTCAACTATTTGAAAAGTCTCAAAGAATACCTAGGGTATTTATCAAAGCTTCTTCTCTTGGCGAGTATGGAATCAATCTTAACATTTTATTTACTCTCCATAAATACAATGTATATACCATAAAACACTTTGTGCATGTTTCAAATTATTCATTTTCTACACATCTTTATATAAGGTAGCAGAGCTAACAACTCTGCTGAGGACACATATTTTTCCATTTTCTAAGCTTTATGTATTCATGTGTTCTAAAAATATAAGAAAATTCCACTACCAGTAAAAATATTGAATATATTGGTTGTTATACCCCCAAAATAGAAAAGACCTTGAAAAATTATATAAACAGAGAACTACATATGTGAGTAATATGAGACATATTTTCTTCTATTATTTATTTTTCATGTAAAAGTTCTAATTCATTAACTCACAAGAGACAAACTGTAATTTTGTAAAACAACTTTGTATTGTTCAGATTTAAGAGACAAGAAAAATGATTGTGAGTAGGTAGGACTTCTGCTACGACTGTTGTGTGAGAAAGACTGCACAATTAAACGACAGACTGTTACATGTCTCCCTAACAAGAGGGGCAAACTGATACTGCAAGAAGCCAGAACATAATTAAAATAGAATTCCAAGTTTACAGTAACAGAGTAATAAGTTAATTAAAATCAAGATCAACTGAACTTTCTATTTACGCCAGTTCAGACAGCCCAAGAGGAAAGGAACTCTATTTTAGAGACATATGTGACTCTTTGAGCTTCTGTCATCCAGGTGCCATTTCTGATGGAGCACATGTGCACCGAACAGTTGGCAAAGAAGGAAAAAGAGTACTGTAGCTGCATGTGCAGATAGTCTCTCTCGTGATATAAAATACGTCTGGAAAGAAAGCAGGGCTTCTTAGTAAAATGAAAAATTTCCCATGACTTTTCATTCTTTCTTAGGCTCTGAATGTGATTTGAGAATGTTTCTGTAAATGAGGATATATACTTTTATTTATGATGTATATGGAGCAAAAATAGATTTAGTAATTTGCATGTGATGGTGTTATACGCATAAATGGCCAAAGGCATCCGAAGAATTTAGGATCTGTTTCCCTTGTTATCTAAATGCACCATGAATAGGTTGCCTGTCAAAGTATAAAGATTTTAAAAGTATCTGGTAGCATACATTATACTACATTGCTAGGTAAGGTTCTTTTCCTGATACCCTATGCAACTATTTAAAAAGATATTTCTGCAAACCGAAACTATCAGTAGAAAGAAGTCAAGATGTTGCTGTTTCAGTACTTCAGAAAGTATCGGTCCCATGAGGTGCTTTGATAAAATTATCTTCCTTTTCATGAATTGACTGCTGCTCAGCTAATCTTCGTCTGGTTCCAGATCAGGGTCAACATCTGTTGACAGTCTGAGATAAAAGCAAGCATAGAAAGCCAGTAGGAGGGCCAATATTGCTGCAAGTACAAGGCCAACTTCCTGAGGAAGAAAAAAAAAGTAGATTTGAAATTGATGAAATGAGATTGGTTAATGTTACCAGTTTCATCAGATAAAATAGCCATATAATTCCATAGTCTAGAATGAATAATTTGAAACTAATAATCACAGCCTGTGTTTAACACTTTTTGCCATTAAGAAAAGAAATTTATTTTGTACTTGACAATACTCATTACAATGGCAAATACATCAGTGGGTGAGTCATTTCTATTATTATTTTTATTTAATTTGTTTATATTTTTCTAATAGTAAAATTAACATTTATAGGGGCCCGCCCGGTGGCACAGCAGTTAAGTTCACATTTCTGCTTTGGCGGCCCGGGATTCACTGGTTCTGATCCTGGGTGCGGACATGGCACCACTTGGCAAGCCATGCTGTGGTAGGTGTCCCACATATAAAGTAGAGGAAGATGGGCACGGTTGTTAGCTCAGGACCAGCCTTCCTCGGCAAAAAGCAGAGGATTGGCAGCAGATGTTAGCTCAAGGCTAATCTTCCTCAAAAAAAAGAAAAAAAGAAATTAACATTTATAATTTTAATATATTTTCATAGTTTGGATATCAAAATGTTGGGTGCAAGAAACGTAGCTTGTCCCTACACAGTATATCTGTTCTCTCTTTGGTATGTTTAACTTTATTTCTTGCTTCAATAAATTTATTATTAGTTATAGCATTTGGATACAGATTTTTTTTAAAAATTATCATTCCTTTTTAATGGGAAAAAACTATTATAACCAGTTTCTACATTATGTCTCAGTACACATCTTTATTAAATATTATTTTGTTGAAACTCTAATCTTCTAATCTTTTAATTCTAAATTCTATAGTTTATAATTTGGCAGAACAAAACTGAGTACTCTTAGCTCATGAAGCATGATACAGTATAATTTATCATGATTGTGAAAGATGGTCCTGGATATCACATTTGATGACTTGATATAGATTTGATTAGTCAATTATGTTGAAATAACAACCCAAAACTTACAACATATATAATGGCAAAAAACATATTATCTGTCAACAAGTCTATAAACTTTCTACATATATACATACCATGAAGGAACTTTCTCAATACTAACATATCATTTGGCTAAGTAGAAAAAAGAGAATATAGTGCCAGTTCAGGATTCTAAAGGGCCTAATATTCCCTTCTAATTTTCACTCCTGTATCACACCCCTTCCTGGTATTATTTTATGGAGAAGCAATTTATTTTCATTTACATTAATGCATTTTACATGTCATAAAAATGTAAAATCAATAATTTAACATGTTACCTAATAAACTTTAAAAACATTAAAATGAGTTTGGTTTATAATCAACATAGAATTTTTACCTGAATGTTGAAATTACAAGTGGACACTTTATATAGATTTTTATCTTCATAATTACATTTATTTAGATTTCCAAACTATGAAAATAAACACTAATAAAACCATTGGGTTGAAAGACTCAGTGTCAACTACTTTTGTAAGATTTGAGTTTTTCAATCTAATATATCAAAGTTGGAACATTTGGGCATCTGAAAAGGGCATGGCAGCATCCAACAGGTTTATTTTCTATATCTACAGCTGTGTTCCCAGACCCACCTGGTTACAGCTACTAATTTTAAGAGGATGTAATAAACAAGTGACACACAACTGCAAACTCCATCTGTTCTGTATAGTGGACAACAAAACTGCTCAACAGCAGTCATCATTAACCAGCTTAATGCAAGAATAAAGTTTTTACTCTTGATTTGTGGCCATGATTCTCATCTCGTTGATAATCACCTCTAATTGTTGCTTTTCAACTTCTTCTTGTCTTCTCAAACATCTCTGTATCATCTTCACTGTATATTTTCAAAATACCCAGAGGCATGAAAAAGGACTTTAAGGGCAGGGAGCAGAGAACATTCATAGAATAGAGCTTCAGAGGATCCATTAATTCAATTAAGTCTATTCAATATATGGTGCAGGGGGTGGGGCTTAAGAAGTATTGGATAGGGAGGTATGGTATATCTTTTTTTTCAAAATGTCCCTATTCCATTGAGGAGATGTGCATTGTGGGGACTGCACATTGGGAGGATTAAAAGAGTGGTAAAATTTGAAAATACTGCTTTCAGGGAGCTGGTGACACTAACATAAGTTAGAGAACGGTAGGCATTTATGACTCCCCCCACTCGCTGGCTATTTTTAGTTTTAGATCAGAAATAACAACAAAAAAAAGGAAAGTAACGTTTCCAGCTGGCTCATCCCAAGGGTGTGTTAACAGGATCTGGTTAACACTCGACTATTTTATTTATGTAACAGACAAACTAAATTTTTTATCCTTTTTCTTTTATTATGATTATACCTTTCAATTAAACCTTTTAAATAAACTAATTAACTAACAAATATAGATTACCATTTTCCTTCTAAATACTAGGAAACATAAGCTCCTTCTAAATGCTAGAAAACATGGGCATTGCATTGCAAAAATTTGTTAGTGATGTTGTAATTTTTGAAAAACAAACTTCTAATTGAACAGCAACCAAATAGCAAAATTAGCTGTGCAAATATTTTTCAGATGGCACTCATTTCATTACTAGGTCATAAATTATGACATTTTGTTTACATTGGTAAGACACAGGAAATAAAAATAGCTTCTCAATAGAAATTAATTCTAGATTTTTGACACACTCACATTCACATCTTATTCTGAATCATTACTATTCCCTCAAAACATTTTCTATTACTAAACATACATTTACAAAAAAGCTATAGAAGCTTCTGGGAGTAAAAACTCTATAGCATAACTCTTTATACCTCCAGTCCACCATTTCTCAATCACTCTTGTTGGTTTTATATGGTAATGAAATCTGGAAGTGATTTCTTGTATAAATTTCTCCAAGAAGATCATATCTTATTCATCTTTCTTTCCACAAGTTCTACAACATTGTAATACTTATAGCAACTTCTAAATAAATAATGAAGGATTAAGATTTATATAATCTATATACAAAGTATATTAAAATCATGTAATGATCTGAAAACTTCACACTAGTACTATCCATAATATTCTCTCCACAGCAAAACTGAGAACATTTGGTAATTTGTGATAGAGTCACATGATGCAGACTTAGTTGAAGCAGGTGCTCTTTAGGCCAAAGACAAACATCCAAGGGAAGTCTTATTTATATAAACCAGTAATAGAGAATTCTAATTCAAAGAAATATTTTCTCAGTCAGCTAACAATTCATAAATGACTTCTATGTGCTAGGTTCATAAGTGTTTTCATTGTATGATTTAACTCTCCTGACAATACTGTGAGGTAAATGGCGTAATGTCCATTTTACAAGTGTGCCAGCTCAGACTCAGCTCCGCCAGGGTTAGAGCCAGAGGCAAGAGGGATGTGGTCCTAGGCCTCTTTATTTTGCGTTCAGTATTGTGATTGCTGTTATTTTTCTGTTTCATGAAGTTATTCATATTTTCTGTAGATTTAAATGATTTGAAGAACCTAACTGGTTCATTCTAAAGAATAAGTAGTAAAGAAACAAAATGTTACAGTATCATGGTCATTCTGCACCAACTAGATAAGAATCAAACATGTTTGATGTTGATTAGTCCTTAGGTGCTTCTCTGACATTATCGATATGGATAAAATCACTCACTAGGGAAATTAAACAGCATTAAATGGCAACTGCTGTACGAAACTTTGCTATTTAAAGTCCTACGCTAAAATGACAAGGCACTCAAAGTGTGACAAGGCAAACTCATTAGTATGTCAGATTTGAAATGTAAAACACATCCATGGTTCTCATTCTAAAAAGTTTCATATCATTTTAATGGGATCTTCACATACATTTTCAAGCAAAGTAAACAATGTTTAAAGGTAAGGTTTTTGTTTTCTACAGGTTTACAAGTCAAAATGATATGCTAGCTTAGAAAGGAGCTATGTTCTGATGTCAGTTAGAAACTATCCTGTAAATACTTTAAATCACAAATGAAATCTAAGACAAATTATTTTCCTATAAAAAAGACAAAAAACTTCTACATTGTTTTTAAAAAGAGAATTGCACCATAAGGTAAATTTATACTAGGAACATAGCTATTTCCTCAAATTAAAACAATAAAAGTTAGAAGAGCAAATAAAACAGAGGATGTGTATAAGAAAGTGGTTTATATTTATAAATGAATGGCTGCACTGTTTCTCAAATTCTAATTTATTGCTGCTCATTACATTGTGCCACAAGTGGAGTTTGCTATCCCAATATTTTTATTAAAAAACTCCAAAGACAAAAATACTGCATTGTGAAAGATAAAAGTAAGTGTCATTTTGCCTCAGTGGAAAATGACAAACAATGCTTTCACTACAAGAGACAATCATCAGGTAACTAATTATAAAATAAAAAACTGAGCACTGCTTTTAGAAAGGTCAAGTCATGGATATAATTTTAAATAAAATTTCATATGCAGATAGAAGAAAAGTTCAAAAGATTAATCAACTCTCTTTTAAACATAAAGGCAATTTACCTTTTTCATTAAAAACTGACACAGAGCACTAACTGAGTAGATTGTGTTATGAAAACATAACGTATCACATGGCAATGTTTGATCAAAATCAGCAATCAGGAGTAAAAAGAAGGCAGTGTTTTGTGATCATAACAGCAAATTCTGGAAGACAACCAATTATATCATCTGGCAGTTCAACAGCTGTTACAGCTTGGTAGTAATACCTTGGCATTTGCTATAAGCTATAAGTTAGAAAAATTGATTTTTTATCTGCCAGATAAAGCCCAAAATCTCTTTTTAACATTTTAATATTTAAATAAAATATATGTTCTAGTCACTTTGATTTTGCACACTTGACAGTAGAGCTGCCAAATTAATTTTTCTATTTATAGTTTAATTTGACTCAATACTTGGCAAAGAATTGACATGGGTAATAATGCAAAAGTAATTCTGTTGAACTTCATTGTGCTAGCACATTGGATTAATATCTGCTAACATCATTCTCAGTTACATTTATTCCTCTTACACAGTTAAAACACTGATTTTCTAAAAGAACAAGTTTGAGGACATCATTAGAATTTCACCATAGAGAGTACTGACAACAATAACACAAAGAGTAAAATTATACATATTAATAATCTCAGCATATATAATTATAACTAAAATTTAAACAACCATAAAATGAAAGTTATTGAAAATGAAACAAGTTTTTGATTCAGGCCACATAAACCACTGAAATGTTTGAACAATATATACAGTAGCTAGAGAAAAAATAAATTGCAATTTTAAGTATAACTGGTTATCTTAAGTGACATTGTGTTTTATTTTAAGACCCAGTAAAATCTCAGGATAGAAAAGATGTTTCCCATTAAGTAAACTCTTCATAAAAACCTTTAATACGGGTATTCGACTTAGATTTTGAAATGTCATAAAACATTTAGAACTCAACATTTATGTAATCCAGCTTGAGAAAATGAAATGGCATGCATATATCAAATTTTAAAGTTATCAAATACAAGTACCTTTATGCCTATTGCTGTTTTCCTTGCTTCTGCTTTTAATTTGGTTGCTCGTAAAATAGGTTTGGTTTTTTTATAATCCTGTTTACCTAGAAAAAATCATTTCAGACAATGAGCTATGCTTACCTATAATTCAAGTTTAACAGCCATCTGCAATGTCAAAGAATGTTTACATAGAGTAAAACTGGGACACAAAGTTGCCAAGTAGTTCCCAGTTAATGAAACCATAAATTTGTCACCCTAAGGTCATCTTTTCCTCCTCTCTTACTCTTTCAGGATGAAGATTTGACAGACAGCTTTGATTTGCTTTCAGTTCATATCAAAAAAATAAAAACTTATTTTGGAGAAAATCTTTTGAAAGCATTTGGAAACAAACAGATAAATAAATGAGTAAACATAAGATCCCACTAATAGGTAAAGTTAACTTTGTCTTCATAATTGAAGAATAACAGTTCATTATAAATTTATTTTATTATGAATATAACAAGTATTCGAATAATCAATTTGAGAAATAGCCTCAACCTTTCTCTAAATAAGAAACTAAGGAAGGATCTGCAAATTGTTAACTTTTAGTTGCTGAATTCATTAGAAAAATATATATTTAACTTTTGTTTGCTCTTAACAGAGGACAGAATAAATATGGCTAGATATAAGATGTAGGATAGCCACATTTAGATATTAGTTTCAATCTTCTCTTCCATAGTTCACAGCCAAAAATGAACAGTTAGTGTCACCAAATTTCCTTTTCTGTGTACCATCTGGTGACCTCACTAATGAGTAACAAAAGAGCCATTACACAGCCTTTAAAGAAAATAGATTTTACAACAATAACAACAACAAAAGCATTGACTAGAATAATACACTATTTTGTTAATCAAACTTTTAACTAAGAACTGGGTCAAATATGTCATTCTGACTGCAGTTAACACATGATCACATAATCTCTCTGGCTATTTTATATCCTCCTTATTTTGCCTTGTTGTTTCTATCTTACTCTCTCTCCTTTCAAAGATCAGTTCCTTTCCACAACTTACCCCTAGATTTCCTTTATCGAAATAATACAACTTTTATCTTTAATTTCCACATCTTCCTCACATTGAAATAAATCTGAAAGCAGTTGATCTAAAGTATATCATAAAAGTTTAATGTGCAATATATTTCTTAATGTGTCTGCTAATGATTCGAAAGTACGTTTAAATTTTCATATAGAGTTTTAGAATTAGAAATCGCAGAGAGAAGTGAGTCAAACAGACAGGAGTAATGAAGAAATGCTATATTTGTGTTCATTAGACACATAAAGGTGCTTGTTTGGCTGAAGAGCTATGTATTTTTTTAAAAAGAGAGAGTGTATGCTATTTCCTTAACTGCTATTGTATAGCAGTCATTCTGGATCTATGAGCACACAGAAGTTTAATAAGTATTATTTGATGATGGGGTTTAATGACTCAGAAATGAGCCAATTGTAAAAGTATCGCAAATGATCTAAATTTAAACTATGAAATGAACAAAATACAAAAAAATATTACTCTGACCCATTTTAAATTAGCAACATTTAAACATTTAATTTTGTTGAAAAAACCTTGACAAGTGTTGACTCTGATTTCACATCTCCACAGTCAAACTATTCATGCCATTATTCCCGCTGAGAGAGAAAAGAGTTCAGAACCATGAAAATGGTGACACATCAAATGCTCCACTCAGTGTTACAAAGCAAATTTCTAATGATAATCTAAAAAGAAATTTGAAGATTATAGATTTGAGGCCAAAAAGTCATTCCTTGTTTTATCTTACATATGCCCTATACTAATCTCTGGGTACAATGGGGAAAAATAAACAAACGAAAAAGGGTTATCTTAACCCATATGCTTTTTACACTTATGCAATATTCTGGATGATGTGTGTGTGATAAAACAGATTCAAATATATCTGAAAGAGTCAATGTTAAAGTGAGAATTTATTACTCTACTTCACTTGCCACATAACCATTGGTTAAATAATGGTATTCTATTTCACTTCAACTCCTATAATCTCTTAGAGAATAATACCTCTAGATTTATATTAATGTCGATATGAACATTTGAAACTATGTTTATAATAAATGGTTTTAAAAATTACTGTACACCTGGTACTTCTCCAAATAGTGCATCTGTCATTAATTTAGCATTCTCCTTGCTGACTATGATATCCAAATGTATATATTACAAAACATGGTTTCAGTCTACTAAGTGAAAACATTTACAGGCGCATCTGTTAAGTTCTTTATAACTAAAACCAGATCTTTCCACTATATCCAAAAAGGTTTTCAACATTTGAATGTGTTATGGCTTCAAGAAAGATACCTATGCTCACACGATTGTGAAAAATATAAAATACAGAAGCCCCTGTATTCTGAGTATTTACACCTAGAAAAACTACATTTATATAATCTAGATTTTATATGTATATGGTTAATTGAACACGATTGAGTCTGATTTTGGTTATATCAATAATGCAATAATCAAAGTAGTTGTTTAGCAATTTCTCCTTACATTTTATATGAGAGAAAACCTGGATAATTCAAGTTATAAAGCCAATCTGGGGCCTCAATCATCTAGTTTCTCTATTCTCAATGACACCATTCATCAAATTTCTGTATTTTCATTTCTTATAATATAGTTTAAGTAACAAAAGCTTTTTTTCCCCATCTCCATGCTTCCTGATTGACTGGTTTATGCTTTCTCTCACCAATATAATCCTATAATACTATTGAACTATATTTTATTTTAAAATTAACAGAGTGAAATTGACTTTTTCCTTTTGGCATATGGTTCTATGAATTTTAATGTTCAGGTATTGATTCATGTAACTCCTGCCATAATCAGGATACAGAAAAGTTCTATCATTCCAAAAACTCCCTATGCTATCCTTTTATACCCACCCTTCCTCCTCATAATTCCTGGCAACCAGTGATTTCTTGTCCATTTCTATAGCTTTGTCTTTTCAATAATGGGGCAATAATGTGACAAGGGCTTCTTTTATTCAGCATTAGGCCTTTAAGTTTCACCCAAGTTGTATGTATTACCAGTTCATTCTTCTCTATTGCTGATTAGTATTTCATTATATGAAAGTACCAGAGTTTGTTTATCCATTCACTCAATGAAGTGCATTTGGGTTATGCCCAGTGTTTGGCAAGTGTGACAACAGCTACTATAAACATAGGTGTACTGGTTTTTATGTGAACACAAGTTTTCATTTATCTAGGGTAGGATTGCTGAGTTATATGGTAAGTATATATCTAACTTTGTAAGAAACTGTCAAATTATTTTCCAGAGTGGCTATATCATTTCACATTCCCACTAGCAATGAATGAGAATTCTGCTAGCTTTTCATCATCACTTGCACTGATATTGTTTAACTAGGTTATCTAATTTTTAGCATATAATTGTTCATAGTATTCCCCCTTATAATTCCCTTCATAATCCATTTTATATCTGTAAGGTCAATAGCAATGTACTCTGTTTCATTACTGATATTAGTAACTTGAGTGTTCTTTTTTTTTCTTAGATAGTCTAAAGGTTTTTCAATTTTGTTGATATTTCTAAATGACAAATGGTTTTATTGGTTTTTTTCTTCTCTATTTTGTTTATTTTCACTCTAATCTTTATTACTTCCTTCCTTCAGCTTGATTTGGGTTTTGTTTGCTCTTATTTTTCCAATTTGTTTAGGTGGAAAGTTAGATTATTAATTTGAAATCTTTCTTTTTTATTAATATATTAGTTAACATGTATAAATTTCCATCTAAGTACTCCTTAGCAGCAACTCATAAGTCAGTAAGGAGAAGAAAAAAGTTATAGACAAAAAAATACATGTAGATTTCTATTATACTTACCTATGCAGTTAGCTTTACTTGTGTTTATTTTTTCTATTTGTGGATTCAAGTTACCCCTTGTGTACTTTCATTTCAGCCTGTAGGACTTCATTTAGTATTTCTTATAGGGTAGGTGTGCTATTGACAAATGATCTGGTTTTGTTTATCCAAGAACAACTTACTTTTTCCATTTTTTGAAGGATAGTTTTGCTGGATATAGAATTCTTGGTCAATACTCTTTTGTTTTCAGTACATCATATGTAATGAGTTACTTTTCTCTTGCTGCTTTCAAGATTCGCTCTTTATGTTTGACTTTCAACAGTTTGACAATCATGTGGCCAGGTGTGGATCTCTTTCAGTTTATCCTACATGGAATTTGTTGAGGTTCTTGGATTATGAATTATAGTTTTTCATTAAATTTGGGAAGTTTTTGGATATCATTTTTTCACATATTCTTTCTGACCCTTTCTCTCCCTCCTTTTGTTCTGGAACTATTATTATGAATAGTTGGTATGCTGGATGGTGTTCTACAGGTCTCTGCATCTCTGTTCATTTTTTTTCATTCTTCATTCTTTTTTCATCATGTTCCTCAGATGGAATAACCACATGATGCCTGATTCTCCTGCTAGTTTAAATCTGCTGTGGAGCCCCTTTACTGAAATTTTTATATTGGTTATTGTATTTTTAACTCTAGGATTTCTATTTGGCTTTTTTATATACATAATTTAGATTTCTATAATAATATTTTCTATTTGGTGAGATATCATTCTCATACTTCAATTCTTTAGACATGGTTTTCTTTAGTTTTTGAACATATTTAAAATGGCTGACAAAACCTTTTTCCAGTAAGTCCAAGGGCTGAGCTTCCTTAGAGACAGTATCTATTCTTTTTCTGCATATGGACCATACTTTACTGATTCATAGTGTGTTTCATAATTTTTGTAGAAAACTGGACATATTAAATAATATATTGTGGCAACTCTGCAACACAGATCTCTGCTAGTATTTGTTGCTGCTGCTGTTTAGTTTTCTTTTGTCAGTGTTAGTGTTGGTTTATTTGGTGACTTTTATGGTCTGATTCTGTAAAGTATGCATTCTTTGTCATACCCAGCCACTTAGCTTAATGTTCACCTAATGACTGGACAGAAATTTTCTTTTTTTTTTAGGAAGATTAGCCCTGAGCTAAAATCTGTCACCCATCCTTCTCTTTTTGGTGAGGGAGACTGGCCCTGAGCTAACATG